AAATGATTATTACGACTGGTTTGGGGATTTGTGAGGCACTTAATTGATTCGGAAAGCGCGTCCACTGAATTATAGATAAAAATCTTACTTACTTTTATTATGAGGTCACGTACGCAGTACAAAGCGAACAAAAAATCGAATGGAAAAACTAGAAAAAAATCTAAGGGCAACAATAATGAAATTAAGCAAACGTGGCGCGCACTCAAAAAGCAGTCCAGCAAAACGAAACTCAGTCATATTTTTTTTATTTATTGGCAGCACATGAAACTAATGTTAAACGACACGCAGAACAATTGCCAGCTGGGCTTTGGGCTTGGGCAAACTTCATCAAATATATGAATGAACGAAGCTTTAATCAGCTGTAAGCGTTTAGGCAATATAAATAGCTTTAACTAACGAGCCACCGAATACTTAGCATATTTTTGAAATATGATATTCAAGTTTTTCACTTAACGCCGAAAAACATGCAACAATAATTTAAATGTTGCCACAGACGTGTGCCAAATTTCGACTGGGCATGTAATTAATCATAGTAAGCAAAATTGATGTTTTCAATTTAATTAAATTAATCGATTTGATAAGGCTTGTTATTATTGTTATGAATAAGCTGGGCGCTCGATGTGTGAGTTGTGTGCAGTTTTTGCCGCCAGCCAATTTACAAGTCGAAATGAATTTTAATTATATTATAACAACTGTTCATGTTTATGTCTCTCTGTGTGTATGTGTGCGTGATTTAATTGATATCCTAATTAAAGAAAATAGGCATTGTTGCATTTGGCTGCCGACAACTTGACACTGACAATTTGTACATTGTCACAGCGGCTCTGATTTATTTGTTACCCAATTTCACATGAGCTAAGCTATTTTTGTTTTAATAATATGTATTAATTATGCCAGCTAATCTGGGCACTCTATCACCAGGGAATAGTTAACAGAATTTTCAAATTGTGTTTATTAAACTTGTATCAGAATGTGGACCTAAGAATTGTGTGCAAGTAAAAAACGTATGGAAAGAATATGCCTGTCCTAGATTTTAGGCGAGGAAGTAGGCCTGGGCCAGTTCCAACTATGCAAAGCGACTCCATAAGGCAAATAGCCAAATGACGAGCGTAACTGCGAGGCATACTTTTGTTTGGCTTGGGAATAAAAAGTTTGTAGCTGCGATTAATACGCTGCTTTTGCCATTTCTATGAGCTGGCTTCAAATCGATGACAAAGTTTTCTGGCTAACCCCCTCTCAATCCTGCGGGACGCACGAAATATGCAAATGCAAGTGCGCCTGCAATGCAGCAAAGCATCGAGGAACGTGCTCCATTTACAGCAACAGCAACAACAAAAATAATAACAATAACAACTGGAATGGGACAAAAAAGAACGCACTCATCGTCAAAGAAAACGAGCCTGACAGACAGACACACCGAAAGGCTCACAGACTGGGGCACACACAAGGACATACACAGTGAGACATAGACAATGGACGGCATGTCCTCGTTGTTGTTTTTGTTGTTGTTTTTGTTGCTGCTCTAGCTGTAGACTGAGACAAACTTCCGCTTCTGATTGCAGATAAAGCACGTTCCAGGCGTCTGTCTGTCCCGGCTGGGGCCAAAGCCTGAAAGGGGGGCCTAAATTGATGCGTATTGATGCTGCAGGCGTTTGCGAAACATGCAAAAACATTTTCTATTTGCTCAAGGCCTGGCATCCGGTCCAGCCGCCAAAATCAGTCTAAATTATCATCCCAGCTGCATTATAATGTATTAAATCAATTTCACATCCCAACTCTAAGCACCAAAACAAACACAAAATATTCTTGATTGATGACATTTGAGCTCTTAGTTTTTTCTGTATTTACATTTTTCGCATATTTTTTCTACGGAAATATTCAAAATTTGTTTTTCCCAAGTTTTTAATCTTAAAACTTAAGTTTGAAGGTTCGTTTTTGGTTCAAGGCTTAAGCCAAAAATTCGAACAATGTTGACTTCTGAGGATTCCAACCTTTGGCAAAAACCTTTAGTTCACGTACTTCATGAAAATATTAAGCTGACGAATGAGACAACAATGCATCAAAATATTTTTTAAAATAAATCTGAGGTCCTTTTACAATCAGCCCAAAAAATAGTAAAATGTTGAACATATAAAGTTCTTAATTTAAAACCTCCCTTGAAGGTTATTTCTTTATTCTCCACAATGAATGCTTCTATGCACAATATTCTGCCACATTCAACCCCTGGGTTAGGCATTAAATATTCAGTTTAGTATTCAAAACAAATAACTGTATGCGAATTGTTGTCTGCTGCGTTTGACACTTGCCACGGCCATGTGGCAGGATTTGTTTTGACTCGTGCTAACTCGATTTTATTTGACTTTGGCTGCGCCTGACATTTGGCCCCGGGCCGCAAATTAAATCATTTAAAAATCAACAATAATTAAGCACGAAACTTTTGTGGCAACTTTCTATCAAGGTAATAGTGCTTAGATCGTAACACTGGCATTTACACGACATCAAATGGAAAACTTTTCGCCCGCCTGGCACTTGTTAATTAAACGCCGCATTAGATGACAAAAGTTTTCATGTTGCATGGAATTTGGAATTTCAGTCAGTTGTTGGCTTAATAATTAGACAGCTTGCCCACCCCCAGACTGGACCAGCTGTGCTGAGCTCTCACTTGACATTTGTCGACGATAACCACTGCCCAATTTTCACTTGTTATTATATTTTGTATATTTTTTTTTAGAATTTTTCTACTAGTTGTGTTACGAATATTGTTGCTGTGAGCAGAAGCAGCTTATTGCCCTGGTCTGAGCATGTAAACAAATCTTAGATATGTTTACAGTCAATTTAAATATATTGGTAGTTTTTTGTTTTGGAAAGTGGACATATTCTCAGAAGCTACTTTGTGAAAAATGCACCACAAGTCTCATATAATAAATAAAATTTAAACTGCAATTGCCGTCGACAAAGGCGATTGAAAGCAATGGCAATGCCAAAGAAAAGCTTCAAGAAGTCTTTTAAAAAACATTTTCAAAGGCAGCGCGGGCTATAGTGTGCGTAGTGCGATTTTCTTTGACTTGGGCTGCGCAGAATATTAAGTTGTGGATCGTTGGTCGGGGGTCGGCGGTCGGCGGTCGCGGGTGGAGAGTGCATAATGCTAAATCATACTTATGTCATAAATACTTGGCTCAAAGTGTCCGCCGCACAAACAGGGAACAAAAACAAAAACGGAAGCCGCACTCAAAGGCGCCGCTTCCTGGCTCCGGCTGCACATCTGAGCCTGGCTCTGGTTCTGTGCCTGCTTCTGGTTTGGGTCTGGTCCGGGTCCTGTGGTCCCAATGGCGGCAGTTTGCCTTTGTGCATTGTGCTTTGCACTTGTTTATTTTGCTGCCAAAGGCGAATGGGTAGGCGGTACGCGGTGCGCCTGGTTTATTTCAAACACAAAAAGTCAACGGGCTTTAATGCTGCCGCTTCCTGGGGGGCTTAATGAAAATGTGCATTTATTTTTAGCCAAATGTCAACGCACCACACATTGTGACATATTTATAGAACTCGCATCAAAGCCCGGCGTAAATATAGTCTACAAGGTAAATTCGGATTAATTCCCAGACGTTCAATTGCCATTTTATTGGTTGCCAGTCAACGAATTCCCTCATGCACTTACTTGGAAGCCCTGTCATCATCACGAGCAGACGTCACAGGTGAAAGCCATTTTGACCAATTTAAAAGTTGGGGACAATGTGGTAAATTATTTCGCCTCGATTAAAAATATCAGTTTAATTAATTAAAAGCTTTAAATAGATACGTGTGAATGCTTGTGAGTTACTGCATCATAATCGATAAAGAAGGGCTATGTTCGGCGCGCCGAAGATTTAATACCCTTGCAGACCCAACCTTTTCATTATGCTCACAATGGTTTGCCCCTATTTAAGGAGCATAGGAAAACTAGCTAATACCGAGTATCGTTATGATCTCTTAATAAACAAATAAGTTTTTCATACAAAAACCTACCTTTTTATCGATCGTTCCAATGAAAGGTATATGAGCTATATGGCGAGTTTGATCAGGATATCTTAAAAATCAAAAAACAATTCAATCGTTCCTATGGCAGCTATATAATATAATGTTTAGCATATACATGGGGCGCATAGTTAAACTAAAAAATGCCGAGTTTGGTCAAGATATCTTAATAAACAAAAATTTTTCATACAAGATCTACTTTTCGATCTAGCTGAAAGAAACAGGGACTTTTGCAGAGTTTTATAAAGATAGCGTTAAAGCTGAGAGAATATTTCGCGTAGAAACAAACAGACGGACAGAAGGACATGCCTATATCGACTCGGCTGTTGATAGTGAACAAGAATATATCAACTTTATGCGGTCGGCCTGCAAGGGTATAAAAATCTGACAGCTTTTAAATTTATGTTCAACTATTCTCTGGGCCATCTAGAATTGATAGTTTTCTTTAAGCATTTTCGTTTTCTTCTTCTTGTTCTTTCAGCCTTTATGCAGCGCTCAGTTTTGGTGCAATTTTAATTTCATATCTTGATTTTCGTGCCATAACTTTGACCCAAATTGTCTAAGCCTACCTATGGGCTTTTGTGTACGTTTAAAAGTCAGCAACTTTTCGTTTCGTTTCGTTTCGTTGTCTCGAGTGCACACAGCACACAACTCCTTGCCTCCTGCCCCTTGCCACTTGCCACTTGCCACTTGCCACGTCTGTACGGATTCCCTTGCCGCGGCACGTTTCGCACGCCTCAAGTTGGCCGCTTTCATTCTTTGGTAGTTCGCATTGTTGGGCTAAACAAAAGCGCATTGTTTTGGCGAATTTCTTTCGATTTCCTTGACTTTTATGCACTTGCTGCGGGTTATTTATGGGCCCCTGGCATTGGACCAGAGCTAAAGCGAAGTCTTTGTTCTAAGCGCTCAAAAAAGGCCAGCTTAGTTAATCATCTAGTCTCTCTTTAAACAACTGCTATAACTATTTCTCCTTCTTCTTTCTCTCTATCTAGTGGAGAGCCTGACTATGACTGAGATACGTATCCCGAAGCATATTATGCGGCATGAGGACGCCGTATTGGGCTGCAAATTTGACCTGGATGGCGAATCGCTGTACTCGGTGAAGTGGTACAAGGATGGCTTCGAGTTCTATCGCTATGTGCCACGTGACATGCCGCCTGGACAGGTGTTTCCGCTGCCCGGCGTCGATGTGGAGGTGAGTCTGTGTGCTAATCTGATCGTTGATGCGACACGCCTCGATTGAATTCCATCGAGTAGGCAGGTAGTTTTCATTTATTCCCCAAGCTCGTCAATGTTGCTCAAGTCAATTACAAGCAAGCTGTAGAACGGCAGGCAGGAAATAAATATATACTCGTTCGCTTACATTTTCGGAACTCGACAAAATGTACTCAAAGAATAAATCGAAAGTGCTGCAGACGCTGGAGGAATGCTTCCCGCCTCTGAGCCACGACGAAACCATCGAGATGATTGCCCAAATGGTGCGCCAGCCGAAAAGCAATCCCATCGAGGCCGGCCTGCGCCTGGGCAAGATTGACAAGCAGCAGAGTATTCTGCATGCCGAGAGTCAAATGAAGCTGCACGCGGCCATGGAACACTTCGATGCCACCCCGGAAGCTCTGGACAGTGTGCTGCCGGTGAGCGATAAGGAAATGAATGAACTGGCCGAGGTGGCCTCATCGCTGCATGCCGACGACGATGATGATGACGATATCGATGATATTGAGGAGGAAGATGTTGATGATGAGCTCGATGGGGACGACGATGAAGCAGATGCTGAAGAAAAGGAAAAAGAAGTCGAAAGCCTTAAGCTATTTGATCAGAAAGATCCAACGAAATGAGGCCAAATTGTCAATAGTTCAGAATATATGCGACGGGTGCCTGCATTGAGTTTAGCACTGTCCAACACAATTGCGAGTTGTTCAGTTAGTGTTCGAAAATGTGTAGAATTTCAAAATTTGCATTTAAATTAAAGTTCAGTTCTCCATCGCATACTATCAATTTCTTCGCCTGCATTTCAAGAATTTAGAGGCAAGTCTTTCTCGTTAAATATTGTACATGTGCGTCTGAGGCTGTGTGTGTTTGCGTGTGTAAGTGTATGCATCTACTTATGCATTTATAAATACATGTACGCATGCATGATTGTTTTCTGATACCAAACGCAGGCCATGATTTATTGTCGCTGTGCTGCATATTTAAATAAAACGAATTTCTGCCAAGTGCTCTCCTCGATTCTCAAGAATTCAAGTAGGCTCTGCATTTTTAGTTAGTGCTTAGCAAGTGTCTTGGAGGTGAAGTCGGGGGTGAGTAGGGATGTATGTATGCATGTATGCATGTATGAATGAGTGCATGTATGTATGTATGTATGAATGCATGTATGTGCATATATGCAAACCAAACATGCATACATGTACCAGATAACGTTGAAAAGAACCCCAACTTTTTTTTAAATTCAGAATCTTTCATGACATAAATTTCACTTTCTATAGTTGCCACAAATGTGCAATGTTTTCTGTGCTCCCTGTTGACTTTTACTTTTTACATATGCGTTTATTTTACAACAATTCTCTTTGCTTGCAGTTGCAAAACTCGACGGACATTGCCGTTGTCCTGCGCTCGGTCAGCCTACAGTCGACGGGCCGCTATCGGTGCGAAGTGTCCGGCGAGGCGCCTTCGTTCCAGACAGTTTCCGGTCACGAGGACATGATTGTTGTGGGTAAGTGCAAGTGTGTGTGCGAGTAAGAGAGCGAAAAAGCGAGAGAGAGAGAGAAAGTGCGAGGCACAGAGCAAGATTAATTGCTCAGCATGGACAAAGCGATGAAAAGTAATCTGTTTCTTTCAGTGGAATACACACACGCATATATATATATATATATATATATACGTATACATATAAAATATTTCGCATTTATATAGTTTATGCTTTGGCATTGTTTCGCGCTGCGATTTACAAATTCTCAAGCATGAAACCTGTGCCAAATAAAAAGAGAAAAACAAAGATAACATGCCATGCAAGGCTACGCAGCCACTTGGCCAGTTGGGCGGCGTTCAACAACCTTCACACAGACACACACACATAGACACAGCTACACTATGTCTGCACGTCTGTCTGCGTGTGTGTGTGTGTGTTTTGTATTATTCTGCTGGCAAATTGCCCATGTACGTGATGCAATTCAGTTGCTCACTTACAGCTGCAGACCTGGAACCGAGCGACTATGGCTACCGCCTGGGCTTGGGTCTGGGTCTAGGGTCTGGGGTCTGGTTGGCTGGGCTGCAACTTAATTTGAAATTTTTGCGAAATCCAACAAAACATGGCGAAAATATGGCAGAACGCAATATGAAAAAGTGCTTTGGGGAAAACTTAGAATAAACGTGTTTAATAACAGCCGCAGCGGCCGTTGAATTGCCAGCAACAAGAGCGCAAGGAATAAATCCCAGTTGCTATTCGCCATTTTCGCATTTGCCAGCCTTCATTTCAAACGGGCTACAGTTATTGCCAACTTGATGCTTGACACACGGACATACACAGACACACACAACTGAGAAGAGAGTGTACGACTTGAAGGCACCCTGTATTCTGTCGTGGCATATAATCGTAATTATTTTTATTAATTATTAACAATTTCGTGTTACATAGTTTCTTTTAATTATTTAATTATTTTTTGTCGGAAGTTGGGGTTTTATATATATTATATTTTTGTCTCTACTCGAAAAAAGCGTTCTTTTTCTACCAAAAAAAGTCTCACTCACAAGCAAAATAAATAAACTAGGCTTGTTTACTGAGGACCCATTTCAAATATTCATTTGGTCCTATATGCCAAGCATGGAATACGGCAAGGGGAAAGGGGGCCAACATTATTATGATTATCATTGACATTAGCATTGGGTCTCAACTGTTACTCCCCAGGCAATTTTGGGTTCATTTTCGTCAGGTAGAGCCAGGCAGAGGAGGGCTATCAAACTGTGTATATCAAATAATTAGTTCAACTAACTAGCTGGTATACTATATATGTATATATATATGGGGCATAGGAGTATATGAGGAGGCAGCAATCAAAGCTGAGCGCTTCCGTTTTGCTAGGGGAATTACATGATTACTTGACTTTAATGTTTGCCAATCTGCGATCCGAATCGCAATCATCCCAGCCACGCCCGTGCTCTCCCCTAAGCGGATTAAATCAGCTGCAGATCTAAGTATAAAGTTAATGAATCACCTGTTAATGGCGGGAGCCTAAAAAAAGAAACGTATGAAGTGAAAAAATATCAAATGATTTAAATTACCGGAATATTGAAATTAATGCGGCAGTATATATATATATTACGACTGTGTGTGTGTGTGTGAGTGTGTTTTTATGTGGCAGAAAATAATTGAATGTGATTACGGGCGCACAGCTAAATGACGAGGCGCAACACAGTTGACCCAGTTAGTGGGCCCAGATGGGTTTGATAGCTGCTCGTGAAATGGGATAATTGAAGTACAAGCGCGGAAATTGAAAAACAGAAATGGAAAATAACGTCGACTGAGCAACGCGTACATTGCCCAGTTAATTAGATTAGCATAAGCTGCATGGCAATATCCTGGTCAGCTTTAGGTATTACTTCCGCATGCAAGAGATATGCTTGATAATATTGCCAAATTGATATACTATCTATTTTTGGACTGGAAATACTTCCCTTTGTCAATTTAAGCCGAAAAATTTGTGCACTATTGTAGACAACTTGTGGGACATTGTCTAAGCAGCTCGAGAATGTTGGCTCCATCAAAGTGGCCAAACAATTAGAAGCAATTGGACAACAAAAAAGGGTTTATTTTCGCTTTTCTTTTTGAATGAACGGGGGAAAGTGAAAAATGGACCTAATGACAAATAATAAAAAAAATATGCGTTGGACAAATAATAATACAAACAATGAAAGAAAGTAACAACAGCTCAATCAATGTCTGGAAAGCTTGGACATAAAATACCGAAAATAATAACTTATGAAGTTAAGCAGCGCTAAAATAATTGCAAGAAAAAGAAAAAATGCAGAAACAAACAAAAAGACAGCAAGAGACAAGAACATACAAAGCCTGCACAAGATTTTCTTTTCTTTCATTTCGGTTTTTTCTTCTATCTTCACTTGGATTTTTATTACTGGCCGCGAACAAGGCCTTGCATTTATTATGCGAATTTCGCTGTAGCCGGAAGCAGGCGCCAAATAATAATACAAGAGCAATCCAAATTATTATTATTTTTTTACTTTTATCATTATTAAGGCGAATGGACAGCGTGAAGGAATTTTAGCAAATGCCAGACACCAGATGCACAAGTATTTTTAAAAGCCAGATTATAATTTCTGTCTGTATGTGTGTGTAAGTGAGTGTGTGTGTGCATTGCAGTCGATTTATATGGATTCATTGGAGGATTTCAAGTGAAACTGAATCTGCTGGCTGCCTGGTTGACTGACCCAATTGGCACACATCCAGGTCAGATTCTGATTCAACTACGTCAACAACAAAAATGTGCAATAATTGCACATGAAACTTGGCGATTGTTGTCTCCAATTGCTGTTGCCAATTGTTGTTGCATTTGTGCAGAGTTATTTGAATAGCTAAATCTGCAGGTTTAATTTAAAATGGCACCCAATAAGACTCGTTTAAACGTTTTAATAGTGGAATTAAAAGCAACCTTTTTATTATAAAAAATGGAATGGAAAAATGGTGGAGACCTATTGGCAACTCATGGAATCTTTTCAGGACGATCGTACAAAAGTAAAATCGAACTTTGAAAAATCTAAATAATGGAAGCAACAAAAAAGCTATTATTGAACCTTACCCGGAAGAAGAATCAAGAATTGAGGAACTTCATCTAATTGCTTTCATTCATTATCCATTATCCAAGTTCGTTAAAAAGTACGTCGGGAATTAGCTGAGGAGGAAATTTTTTATACAACGATTACCTACACTCATATAGGAATTCGAGACCTCATTTCCAGTTATCTACATATAGCCAGGAACTTACACGTTGTGCACTTATCTACCATTGCAGTCACACCCAAGCATGGACCACAAATCACCGGCGGTCAGCCCCGATACCAAATTGGCGATATGGTGCGCGTCAATTGCACTTCGGCGCCATCGAAGCCCGTCTGCCATCTCGGCTGGCTGATTAACGGCATGCACGCGAACCGCTCGCTGTTGCGTCCCTACGAGCCGCTGTCGGTGGGCCGGGAGGGTCTCGAGGTGGCGCGCCTCGGCCTGGAGTTTCGTGTTCGCGGATGACACTTCAAGCACGGCGACATGAAGTTGAAGGTGAGTTATGGCTGCCCGGATCGGCTTTAAGCTGATTATGGCCCACCCCCTCAAATTGAAACATTACACTGGCCAACGTCGACTCAATTCAATTTGCGGCAACATTACATGACAGCGCATGTTGATTGCTATCTGGTGGTGGGGAGGGGTTGGAGTCGTGGGCGAGTGCAAATGTGTGTCGCAGGGGCCACAAAATTTCACGTCTTTTATGATTCGACCGACTACTGCCTGGCCATGGCCAATGTCCGTTTGCATATGCGGGTCATTTTGGGTTATCAGCTGGGCGCCTGGTGCCAGTTAATGAAAGCATAAAACTTTTAGTGTGCCGTCAACGCGCAGACACATTTACCGGGGCTCCCCTATTGCCCGCCGCTGACCGACACAGATTTCATGAGCCAGTAAACAGCTGCTGGTGGAGGAGAGACTATAGCGACGGCTTCTCTTATTGCAGTGTGTCGCCAAAATCAGCTCCGTCTACTGGCAGAGCAACGAGGAGAGCGTCGAGAGTGATAAGCATCAGCGGATACCCGTGTTGGAGTCCAGGGAGACAGTGCGCCAGCTGGACAAATCACTGGAAGGTGAGTGTGGATGCAACATCAATCATCTGCGCAACAGTTGTCAGTGCAGTGCATCAACTGTACCTCCCCTCTCCATCTCTCTTTCTCTCTAACTAACTGGAAAAGCAGACAAGCAGCTCAAGAAGAGTCGTCGTCCTGCGGCGGCCACGTCTGCCGCCGCCGCCGCAGCGGCTTCATCGGGCGCTAGGATATTAGCGTCCAAATCCATGGCACGCATTTCGCTATACGCGCTGCCAGTCTTAATAGCATTTCTGTGTAATGCTGCCGCCGCCGGTTTGTGTGTTATGCCCACGTCCACGTCCACGCCCACGCCCACGCCCAGGAGGAGTAACAAGCCGAGGAGCAGCTGCTGTCGACATGACCGCCGCCCGTTGGCCCAATTAAGCACATCCACGCCGTGCAGATAACAATTAACGAAGATGTATGACACCACCAGCCCCCATTCAGGCCCGACCCTAGAGCTATGCCAAACTCATTAAATCTGTGTAAATATTTCAACTACGTAAATGCACAAAGCCGATAAACAGAAAACGTGAAAGCACAAAATACGCACATCAAGTATACGCCGCATTTGCCGGGCGGCAAATCAAATTCTGTAGCTGCTTAGCTACTGTACATACAATGAGACAGACATACGTATTTTCCAAAAATTATAAATGATATTTTAGGAAGGGATACGGAGGGGGTACGGCGTGCAGATCGTTGTTCCTTGCTTGCTTTTAGGAAAGGGAAGAATTTGCTCAAAGTTGTTACCAAAAATACGAAAAATTAAACAGAAATCAAGATATGCAAGTACTTAACTAGCCAAATCTGTACAAGCGTAGTTTTTAAGTATCCTGTTAATGCAAATCAGAAAATCGAAAAATATATAGCTAAAGTTAAGATTAAATTAACTGCAAATAGAGTCTTCAATATTGATGCTTAACATAAATCAAAAACACTTTTCGTGTACAATTAAAAGCTACATAAAATACATGGGTAAATTTAATTGTTGCAACTACCGATAAGTACATGAAAAATTAAATTAGATTGAAAAATAGCAAAGCTGATATGCTTGAGATTGATAAGCGAAGATCCAATGCAATTTTTAGGCAATTTACGAATTTTAATTAACCTTGAAAAGCCAGCAAAAAATGCAGAGACACCCAAGAGTCGAGCTATAGCTCGGAGGCGCCACTGTAAATTTCTACAGAGTAGGCTAATCAAATTGTAGGCACACATTGTACAGTTATTTCTTCTTTCTCTATGCAATATTTAACTGCTGAAGGCACACCTAAACACACACGCATATGGAACACGTAAATGTGCATATCTTGAGAAAATTATCCATGGAATTCTGCATGCGTATTTGTTGAATGTCTAGGTCTAAGAAATAATAATATGCAAAATATTTAACTGCAATATATTAAGTACATATTTATGTTTAGCTGTGTAAAGTAATATGTAATAATGAATGTTATTAAGTCTTTAAATAAAACCGCATTGAAAATCGAAGCTGCCGCCTGCTGCTTCTGCGTTGCCCCAAAAAGTGGGCAATACTTTTTACGAAAGCGCAACTGGAACTGGAGCTAAAGCTGGAACTGGAACTGGAACTGAAATTGTCATTGTCAGCGTTTGTCCTTGCTTCTCATTGTTTCTTCTGCCGCGTTATACGTTTTTTATTGCTGTCATAATATCTCGCCTTGGTTGTATTCATGCCGCGCTGCTTCCCTTTTTATTGTTATTATATTTACTTGTCGGATTTGCAGGGCCCACTCGCCCCCACATTCATTTACTTTCTATACGTCTGTTTTAATGCGAACATATTTGTTTTGACTTATGGGGAGGTTGCACTTATAGGCCAGGGTCGGGGCTGCGTAAGCCATGCATGCATGCACTTAAAACATTTTATTACGTGTCATATATCAGCACATTGTACGATTGAATTTTGACTATGAGGTCATTACTGACAACCATTAAGCAAACTTCATTGGGATTTATTATTGTCTATTATTTTATTTATTATTTATTCAAGGGTTCGAGCACTTTTTGTTCATAAAGTTCTTTGAACTAATCTGGGTTTTTTTAATTTTAAGAATTGCTTTATGTTAAAATCGATACTTAAGTAGACTTTACTGCTGGGTTATTTACTTGGCCAGCCCCAGCCCACCTGTTCGCATTTAAAGCACTTTAACTTTAATAATCTTGGGTGAAAATTGTGCACAAATGAAACATCACTTGAAATGAAACGCCTCAAGCAGTAGAACTAGTCCAAGTTAAGGCACATTTAAAGTTTTTGCAGCAATTAAAAATTGTGAAAGGCGCTGAAGCGCTTGCACGGATTCCGGGAACAAAGTTGCCACACAGCTCGGCATGAGCTCGTGCTTATTTGCTTAATTTCACAGAGCGCATATGCACAAAAGGACATCAACAGCAGGCAGAGACCGGGGGCAGAGCTGAGGGCGTGGTGTTGGCTTCTTTATTTATTTATTTAGTATTTTTTTTTTTTTTTTTATGCCAGCCACTTGCATTGCATTTTGTTTATATGCTTTTAATGCAATTAGCACGCTTTTCACTTTGATTTACGCCCAGGCGCCCGAGTGCTTGACTAACCGAGGGGGGAACAGAGGGACAGACTGAATGACAGTCGGTCTGACAAACCGTGCCCAAAGGGCGCTTTGTCTATCTAGGCACACACGAGTGGCTGGCAGCTCTGTTTCTGCCTTTTTGTCCCACTGTTTGTCTCGCATTTGTCAGTGTACATATTTATGAGTGGCAAAGCGGCTTTCATCTTTTGTCGGGCGGCGTCTCCGAGTGTTGGGTGCCTCCCTTTGTTTGCCAGCCTGACTGCTGCTGCTGCCTCTCTGTTCATTATGTGCTCGTTGCGCTTGTTTATGCAACCATTTTCATTAGCAGCGCCGCGTCATTGCCATCAGTCAGCAGTCAGTCAGCAGTTGGTATTGGAGTCGGACTAGGAGTCCTTGTCGCAGCCATTTGGGTGCTTTGACCCTTTCCTTAATGCATATTGTTTGTGCCTTGGAGCGTCGTTTGTTGCGTTGTTTTTAATTACGATTTGCTCACTTACATTCCATTTTGCTGCTGCTAATACCCACATGTCCCCGTCGTCCTCGGCACCGACTGCAGATTACACTTCAATCAAACGCGCGTAAATATCAATCAACGTGGCCAGCGCGAGGCTAAGAAACGCCCCCGAAGCAAAACTCATTTAAAAGTAATCAACAAGTGGCACGAAAATGGCGCAAAAAGCGAGTTGCAACAAAATTGAAACTAATCAAAGAATCAGACATGCTGGAGAAATAACCACGCATTAAATGTTAAGAAAATAAATCATCTCGATACTCGATCCGTTGGTAAGGAGTGAATAATATATATGTAGTATTCAAAAGGGATCATCTTAAAGTAAATATTTCATTTTGTCTTGCTAGAATTAACTTTAAGTAAAATATACGTCGTGCTCCTCGGTTCTCGAGACTTGTCTATTCTACTATATACATGTAGATATAGATATTTAAATGGAGCTATATTATACTTGGTCTGTCCATCAGACCTTCAAAAACAATTTTTTTTTTGCGATAATTATTTATGCATTTATATAAATATTTTTCAGCTTCTATCAAGTATTAGTCACGCTTATCCATTGTTATAAATACTTAAATAGATAAGTTATTCTTATGGTGCATATTTTTTGAGATTTAAATATGTATCACTGACGCTTCATGAAATCTCTTTCAAATTTGTCATAAAAGTCATTAAAGCAATAGTCCTGTTAATTATACATTTTAAATAGGGTATGCCCTGAGGTCAAATTACACACTCTGTCAGCATGGCTGTCAACATGCCGAACAGGTGTTAGGGACTGCCAAATGCAGATATTGTTTATTTTTTAACTAACTAATACAGACGTTTAACATAAAATTAAATCTCAAATGTCTAAGATGCATTTTACCTCTAACTATAGAGTGGTAAGAGGTAGATGCAAATTAAAAGAAAAAAATTTCGTATAAACCTCAATTCAATTGCTTCCCTTCACACTAGACACACATACATACGCTCACACAAACTCCGCTCAACTGCATAGAAAATATCATAGCATACATTTGTGCGCTCGCTTTTCGCTGGTATTTCGATTTCAATGAGTTATGGGCATAAATAAATGTCAGCATCGTTACTGGACGCTGTCGATAATTTATGTTTATTGCTTATGCAAAACGCAAGTCCAATAAGCACAAAATCAAACAAATGGCTAAAAGTTCAAGACCCCGTGCCCGTCCCCGTCCTCATCACCGTTCAAGACCCCGACCCCGACCTCGTCCAGGAGCCACTGCTGGGTGTCAATTTGGGGTCGTGTCTTGTGTCTCGGGCTAATGGCGGCTCGTTGATAAGCTGTTCGCTGGGAAATTAGCAAACAAAATGCGTAGCTGTAAATGCTTTTGCCTTTATTTTCATTTTCGATTTTTTTTATTTTTGCTAGGCCGCAAGGTGAAAATTGTGTGCGAAAAGTCGTACGTGCGTGAAAATGAATGAAGGGCGCGTGCACAAAATGTAATTGTTTGCGGCAGGAACTGAGTGGTCAGGTGGCCGGCAAAGATATGGCCCTGCCTTGTATATGATTTAATGTTAATCACTTTTAAGAGCCGGAGATGGAGATGGCGATGGAGTTGGCTGTTAGGGAGCTGTGGAGCCGTGGAAATGTGGAAATGTGGAGCTGGGCATATTGAAAATACAAGCTCGTAAATTAAATTTTACACCGGCTGGCGCAATGAATAGCTAAAAAGTCCGTCTTTGGTTGGCCAAATGATGCAGCAGCAGTAGCTACTCCTCGAGAAGGCCTCCGACTTGGCCCCATAAATTCTTGGGCTAAGCACACGCAGTGCGCCTGGTCATCCATTGCCAACTCGACTCGACTCGACCACGTTAGGGCAAATGTCTGTTGGCCTTTTTTATCGTTTAATTAAAATTCGCAACACGTAAATCCATTTGAGCCGCTGCTGCAATCTTTACTTTAACCTTAAGGCGTTCGCTTCTTAGCCGCAATCCAAGTGCCAAGCTGTGCGAGAGTCCATGTGTGTGTGTGTGTGTGTGTGTGTATGTGGTAAATCCCATTTTTCTATTTTGTTGCTCCATAAAACCACTTTACACAATTTTCGTCTTTTGTTTTTCGATTTGGCTCGTGTTGTTTTGTTGTTTTGGCATTTTTTCTTTTTTTTTTTTTTCCATCCTTCCTTCGACTTTTACCAATTATTGTGCGCTAGTGCAGCCAGTCAGCCGGAGCCGGAGCGCTCGAATTAGCCTTTGTTGGCGCTACCAATCAGCCCAGCCTCCAGCTCCTAATCCCCACTTCAACTCTCGTTCGTCTTCTTCTTCTACTTGCTCGACTGGCTTTCATTACTTTTTCTATCAACGTACTTAGGCGCCATTGTTGTGCAGTTATTTAGCACAATCAACACCCGATGCCGCTGATAGCCCCGCCCTTCTGCCCCTCCCCCCTGACAGACCAACAACTGCCTTTGACTTGGTACATTTTATCAATGTTCCCTGTCCCTTCACTTCTTTTCTCCTACTGCCTGCAGGCAAGTTGCTTTGTTCATTTACGTTTTAGCTGAGCTGCACACTGAATTAATGGAAATTACACTACACTACATCGGGCTGGGCATTAAAAAATTAACAGAATATACACTGCACACAGCCGGCAATTGGCCAATTGGCATCGCATCGGGCACGTTGAAATGCAGCTGTTGTTCGCCCTGGCTTACACTCAATTAAAGGAATGTCGGTGAGCCGATGAATGGCCCAGTGTGCCTTGTCCACTTGCCCAAGGTTTGAGCCGAGCAAAGGATATAGTTGCTAAGCAACGGCCGTTGTAATTGAGAGCCCGAATACCTGCCTTTGTAGGCAATTGAATGGCTTTATAATGCGCTTTATGCGCAGCTTTATACCAGCTCCTGCTGGCTCAATGGTGTAAATATTCCCATTTCAATTAGATGTAAACAAAAGATTCGACATGCATGTGCCTTAAATCGGCTTTATATCACATTCATCTGGACAACTAACAATCTACAGACTAGTTGATTGATTGGAATATGCAACTGAGACAGGAATGGGCTACACTTAGAAACTTTCTTCGAAAATGAACTGAGGTAATACTATAAGATAAATGTTATAGAAATCATAATAATAACCTTTGAAACTTTTCTATTTATATATATAAAAGCATTTGTCGTGACGGTTTGGCTATTAACGCGAATTCTAAAACGTAGTTCCTACGAAGTTGAAGTTCTTGCGGAAGCTGTATTTGGATGAACTCTAGGTTGAGGCGTTGGAAAATTCGATCAACAAAGTGGAGGAAACGTGGGAGAAAGTGATTGAGAGCCTGCATCGGACTAAGTTGGGGGCAAATAATCTAAACAATTTCGATACCACATGGATTAAAAACATAATTTATTTGACACTGGACGAAGGGTAAGTTCTAGATTTTCTAGTCTGACAAAAATGTT